GGTGGGTTTTCCTCTCAGGGCTTCTCCCCACTAAGTGTCCAGGGGTCTGGGCCCCAAAGCTAGAATGAAGGATGGTGGGTTTTCCCGCTCACCTATGCCTCTCAGGGCTTCTTCCCCACTAAGTGTCCAGGGGTCTGGGCTTCTCCCCACTAAGTGTGCAGGGGTCTGGGCCCCAGGCTGCCTCTCCTTGGTCCAGCTGGAATACCAGATCAGGTTTGGGGAATGGAAATGCTGCTAGAGGAGAAACAAAAGGAACAGGAAGCTGAGGAGAATCACCAGTGACTTTCCTCTCTCTGCTTTGCCAGGTAAAAATAAAAGAGGATGCCCCAGACTAAGTGAAATCAGAGAGAAGTGAATCTGCAGAATCTAAGGAAGGGCTTGAAGCTTGCTCTGGCCTCTAAGAGGACAGAAAGCTCCCACAGTTTCTGGAGGGGTGTACACGAGGGCCCTAGGGGACTCACAGATAGTCAATAGAGCCAAAATCAGCTCCCAGGAACTGGAAGATGGAAGGAATGAAGGCAGTGCACCAGGAACCTTCTCAGTTCTCTCTGTACCCAGGAAAGCCCCCCTGCATTAAGTCTCCATTAGGAATCAGGGAAGAGGAAAGTGCTGTTAGACACCTAAGTGAACCCAGCTCTTTCTCCATCCAGCTACTCCTGGCACAGGGGATTCGGGAGCTCAACCCATAGGGCAACAATTCTGATGGTATTCGAGATCCTAGATCTGCTAAGGAGGAATCTAGTAGTCCCCAAGGGCAGAAGCCGAGTTTCAGAGAGAAAGAAGGACTTACAAAAGGAAGTTACATTTGCATAGTTCTCCAGCATCACCTCCCTGTACAGCCCCCTCTGAGTAGGGTGCAGGCTGGCCCATTCATTCTGGGTGAAGTACACAGCCACATCCTCAAAGGTCACTGGCTTCTGAAACAAGTTCCTGCTCGAGCCCTGTGTAAGAACACAGGGAGAGGCCTGAATTGCAGGAAAGGGATAAATTTCCTGGAATCCATGGCACTGAGCCCCACGGAAGGTTTGTACTGGCAAGGAGAGCCTCACAGCACCCCAGCTTGGACAGCCCTGAGTCAGCATTCCAACTTTCCATGTGCATACCTCTGCGGCCCTAATACTATCATCCTAAGCGCACAGCCCAGCACCTGCTGTTCTCTGCTTGGTGATCACGTCAACCCATGGCTGGTTCCACAGGCCAGGTATATTTTCTGGCATGCTTTCTAAATCAGCCATAGCATGTAACCATCTTTCACCCTGCCTCCATCCATCCTGAAGCACCTATCATGGCCTTCCACTCAGCTTCTTTCTGGTCTTCCTCCTCTACGTCTTCTGCTACAGATAGGGGGTGATTTCACGGGGATAAGGTTCCTTTTATCCTGGATATTTCTCCCCTTTCTATCATCTTGCCTTATCAGAAGCTATTAACAGTTCTCCCGTGGCTGGATATGTTGGCTCACGCCTGTAATCCCAGCACTTTGGGAGGCTGGGCCAGGCAGATCACCGGAGGTCGGGAGTTCAAGACCAGCCTGACCAACATGGAGAGACCCTGCCTCTACTGAAAATACAAAATTAGTTGGGTGTGACAGTGTATGCCTATAATCCAAGCTATTTAGGAAGCTAAGGCAGGAGAATCGCTTGAACCCAGGAGGCGGAGGTTGCAGTGAGTCGAGACTGTGTCATTGTACTACAGCCTGGGAAACAAGACTGAAACTCTGTTTCAAAAAAAAAAAAAAAAAATTCTTCTCCCTCCTTTGAAGGTGATGTGCAGTGTTACTTCTTTGTCTCCTAACACACTTCACTCCAGGACAGGTTGGCAAGCTCCCATCCTTCTGCAGAGATCTGCCCACTGCTGTCCTCTTTTTTTTGAGACAGAGTCCAGCTCTATCACCCAGACTGGAGTGCAATGGCACCATCTCCACTCACTGCTTCCGTCACCTCCCAGGTTCAAGTGATTTTCCTGCCTCAGCCTCCCTAGTAGCTGGGATTACAGATGCCCGCCACCATATCCCAGCTAATTTTTGTATTTTTAGTAGAGATGGGGTTTTACCATGCTGCCCAGGCTGATCTCAAACTCCTGACCTCAGGCGATCTGCCTGCCTCGGCCTCCCAAAGTGCTGGGATTACGTTACAAGCGTGAGCCACTGCGCCCAGCCAATGCTGTCCTCTTCACTGTGTGTCTCTCTTTCTGCTTCCCATTAAAACCACCTCCAGCTTCTCAAAGAAGAAGGAAACTATCACAAGCTGTTTAGAGCTTTGTCCCTGTGTCAGTTACTTTTAAACCAATTTGCTCAATCATTATAGCACATCTGTGAAATAAGAATTTGATGGGAATCAGCATTATTAAGCACTTTGAAATAGACTAAAACGAGTCCTCTTTGAGTATTTATTACAAGGGTGTATACGGAAGCAAAAATGTCAAAATGGGCTGACCACTTTTATATAAATTTGTCCCACTGTAACATCTCTCTGACTCACACTGTAGTCTTTCTCAGTCCATCATGTCAACAAGCTTCTCTTTGTACTTAAGTCTCTTCCGAGTGAAGAAATATAACATGAAGTACTAGAAGATTTGCAGTCCTCATTGTAAAGATCATCAACAACAAAAATCATCAATGGATGCTAAACCTAGGAGGAAATTTTGATGAGAAGCAGAATATTTGCATGATCTTAAATGTCTTCTCATAGACTGCTTATTAGTTCCAAAAGGGAAACAGTAATTATACAGTAATCAGATAAAACCCCTTAACCAGGAAGTTCAAATGTGGCTGGCGTGACTGGGGAACTGAATGTTTTTTTAATTGATTTTAATTTAAATAGGCACACGTGGCTAGGGAGTACCTTACTGGACAGTGCGGAATAGATACAGCTGTTAACACCCTTGTCTGACTTCCTTCAGAGTCAGCAACTGGGAACACGGGCCTCACATCTCCATGCCTCTGAAACACTGCTCTGATTATCAGCGCATCCTTTGGTTCCTTGCTTTCTGAAACACTTAGCTTCCTCAGATCCTGCTCTCTCTGTGGTCACCCTTCTTCTGTCCTTTACCTGCACTCACTTTCTTCATTAAGTGGGGCTGCTGACTCCCTTCTCTGGAAGTGGGTTACAGAGGCAGCACAACATAGTGGCGAATGGCACGGAAGTTAGAGCTGTGGTCCTCAACATGGGGCCATTTTGTCCCCCAGGGAGTAGGTGGCAACGTCTGGAGACATTTTTAGTTGTCACAGCTCAGTGTGGTGGTAACAGTAGAGCTACTGGCATCTAGTAGATAGTAGGCCAGGACTATTGCTGAACATCCCATAATGCACAAACAAAGAATTATCTGGCCCAAATGTAAATGCTGCCAAGGTTGAAAAGCCCTGCTCTAAGCCAGACTCCCTAGGTTCAAATGGCATCTCTAATACGCATCAGCTGTTAATCTCGGATGAGACAATTAAACTTTCTCTGCCTCAGCTGCCCCATTTGTAAAACTGCGATAATAATAACTATTTGATAGGACTTCTACAAGGATGGCATAAATTATTATCTGTGAAGCACTAAGATATCACCTGGCACATGATATCATATAAATCTCAGCTCTTACTACAACCACAAATGAGATTGGAAGAACTTCCTAGAAGATTCTAAGTGACAAATGTTCCTCTTAGAGATTGTAGCAAAGACTGACAAGTGTGTGTGTGGGTGTGTGCGCGCACACCCCCCCTTTCTTTCTTAGTACTGGAACCCTAATTATACCTGAGGTTGCACTCAGCCCTGGCAACCAAGTGGGGCCAATGAAATGCAATTAGAAATATTGTTGGGGAATTATGGGAAGGTTCCTACAAGAGAGGTTCATGTTCTTTTGGCGGCTCCTCTTCTAGCTGGAAGGCACACACGATGGCTAGAGATCAAGCAGCTACTTTGGACAATAAAGTGGCCTAGAACATATGAAATGCTGCTAGGACGGTAGAGCAGAAAGACAGGGCCTGAGAGCATCCACACTAGCCCTGGATTGACTCTAGACACTTCTGTATGGGAGAGAAGCGTTTACCTTGTTTAATCCACTGTCACTTGGGGTCCTCTTTGTGGAATCTAATCCTAAGTGATTACTGCACTTCACGCAAAGCACAGCCTACCCCCACAGATATTTAAACACTTCCTGACTTGCAAGAATAAATTTTTGCCAAAGTGCTCCAACAGTAGTGGATGGTCCAATATCCCCAAAAAGAAGGACACACACATTGCTTTTCAGTCCTTGGGTTGGGGCTTTCTCGTTACATGTTACATCCGCTACATGATAAACTCAGCTTTCTCATTACACGATCTAGGACACTGGAGAAAAACCCAGTAAAACCATCAACTACCACCAAGAACTCTGGAGGGACAAGTGTTCCCAGTGCTACATGAATTTGTGCCAAGAAAGGCTGCAGTCTCACAGAGGTTAGACTGATGTCTTCGCATTGAGCTAAAGGCACTGGCTTCAGCTCCAAACTCATCATTCCTCCAAAAATACACCTCCCTCATCAATCCACACCTTCCAAATACTTCCAGTTCTGCCTTCGCTGAATGGTCTGCAGGGCAAACTCCTCCCTTGGAAGTGTCTATTTAACCTCAGAAGTGTCTTTTCTTTGTGTATTGTGACGCAGACAAGCACTCCTCAAATTTTAATTTGCCCCTTAATTTTCCAGATTTAGTAAAAATGTAGGTTCTGATTCAGGAGATCAGACATTTTGCCTAACAAGCACCCTCTATAATGCAAAAGCTGCTCATCTCCAGGCCACGCTTTCAGTTCTTGTGGATGTAGACTCTCACTTTCTAGGATAATTAATTCCTTCATTTCCAACCTACCTGACCCTCTCAAATTCACCAACTCTCATCATCAACACCCCTCGCATACTCTTTTGCCATACTCTATGAAGGATGGTCAACTGAGCATGGGACTGTCCAAGTCAGGCTTCTAGGCCTGTGCTGACTTTCCAAATCTGTTCTGAGTATGGAAAGCTGAAAGAAAGCTCTGCTCACCTGGAACCACAGTGTCTGGAGCATGGCTGATGACCCCTGGCTTCATGCACTGCCCTCTAGGTTTGGAAAAGCAAGAACCTGTGGAGCTAAGAGAGAACCTCAGTGAGACTGTCTTGTCTCCTACACTTCCACCTCTTCCCTCTGTCTCCTGCCATTAGCACTGCAGATGTTCTTAGCACAGCAGCTGCTCCCATTCACCCTCTCCACTGATTCATGGGATGCTGCAAATGCTCCTTCTGCATAGTCTCCTGTGGATCTGCTTGGTGACACTGGAAACTCTAGAAAGAATATCTGTAAAGTACGAGTCAGGTACTGCAGTGGATTCGTGGCTGTTCAGAAAAAAATATTCTTGGCCCCACTATGAATACATTACTAAATAGTTTGTACTGAATGCTGCTAGGGATCATGGCAATCCAAAACAAGTCTCTGGAGAGAGAGCAGGATGTAACGGGGACCCCTAAACAAACCACAGGCTGCACACAAAATGTAAGTGGTGACCTAGCCCTGGGTGACAAGGGTGAGACGCTCAATGTCCCAGTGGGTGATGCTGACCGAAGACCTAACCGGGATCTGAACGCTCCAGCCCAGGAAGCAGGGGACCCTATAGTCACGGCTCCCATCCTCCATGAATACCGCCGCCCAGAGGACATCAGGCCAGCTCTTCAGAGCGGCAAGGTCGATTGCATCTGAGGACGGGGTGCTGGGCCCAGGCTCGGGCGACCTCTGCAAGGGCCCAACGCCCGACCTCCAGAACAGGTGGCCGAGAGAGGGAAGCCCAGGAAACTCTACCCGAGCGTTCGCCAGGTGGCCAAGGCAGAAGCACTAGCGGCCGGCAGTCGGTCCCTACTGCCTCTCTAGGAAGCCGGGAGGCTGGCCCTTCTCTATGGTCCCCCCGAAGCCAAACTCCCACCCTTGCCTTGCCTTCCCCACAATCGCTCTGCGCCTGGTTTGTTTTCTATTTTCTATTGAAATTGGGGATCTCGCTATATTGCGCAGCCTGGTCTCGAACTCCTGAGATCAAGCGGATCCACCTCGGCCTCACAGACGTAAGCCGCTGCGCCCGGCCGCGCCTGGTTTTTTATTTTCTCTTACGGCTTGGTACCCCAACTACATGATAAATCCCTCCATATTTAACAATTAATTCCTACGGCCGGGCGCGGTGGCTCACGCCTGTAATCCCAGCACTTTGGGAGGCCGAGGCGGGTGGATCACAAGGTCAAGAGATCGAGACCATCCTGGTCAACAAGGTGAAACCCCGTCTCTACTAAAAATACAAAAATTACGGCCGGGCGCGGTGGCTCACGCCGTAATCCCAGCACTTTGGGAGGCCGAGGCGGGTGGATCACGAGGTCAAGATATCGAGACCATCCTGGTCAACATGGTGAAACCCCGTCTCTACTAAAAATACAAAAAATTAGCAGGGCATGGTGGCGCGTGCCTGTAATCCCAGCTACTCAGGAGGCTGAGGCAGGAGAATTGCCTGAACCCAGGAGGCGGAGGTTGCGGTGAGCCGAGATTGCGCCATTGCGCTCCAGCCTGGGTAACAAGAGCAAAACTCTGTCTCCAAAAACAAAAACAAAAACAATTAATTCCTAACGTAATTAACTTAATTCCTAACTTCTTACCTAATTTACTTAATTCCTAACAACCTTCCAATGGCTTTATAGCCCCTGTCTCCCACTTAATGACTGTGACCTAAGACCATGGGGTCTGCACTCTTGCTGGCTGCGTTCCTGCTCCACTCTGTATGGACTTGCTCAAGTCATACACAACTCGTTTGAGAATGGTAAAAGTTTGTAATTTATAAACTCAGTGCATTAACTGAGTCAATTCATGCAACAGTTTTGTAAACCAAAAATAAAATTCTAACTGAATGGACCACTGCTCTCAGCCAAAAGCATTCCAAAGAAAATCTGATGGGAAGTAGAGAGGCTGGACTTGGAATTCAGGAACTACAGATCAGCATTAGCATTAAGACAGAGATCTCGAGACTGACTAAAACTCTATATAGCAATAAGACACCAAATTCCAACCTGACTCTGTAGTCTCACATGACAGCTAGCAGGCCCTGAAAGAAATGGAAGTATTTTACCCTAAAATATATTTCTTTGACATATTTTGAAATGGCCCTGTAAAGCTGTCGCTGGTGGTGAAAATCTACATCCTGTAAAGAGTCCCCTTCACTTTCAAGGTCTTTTCCTTGATCCAGGAGAGAATCTGGATCTAAGAGAGTGTGGCACCTTTTGAAGTCTGATAAGAAACATTTACAAACGTTTCTCTCTGAAGCCTGCTAGCTGGCGGTTTCATCTGCATAGTAAGAACGCTGGTTTCTAAAACTCCTTAACTCAGACATTCCCTTCTATCGATTCCAGGTCTTTCAGTAATAACTCTGTCAACTAAGTGCCAGCTAGAAACCTTTGAATCCGCCTATGACCTGGAAGGTGCCCCCACACTCCCCACTTGGAGTTGTCCCTCTTTTGTGAATTGAGTCAACGTACATCTTACATGTATTGATTTCTTACGTCTTCCTAAAACATATAAAACCAAGCTGTAGCCTGAACACCTTGAGCACAAGATCTCAGGACCCCCTGGGGCTGTGTTGTGGGTCACTGGTCCTCATATTTAGCTCAGAACAAATCTCTTTAAATATTTTAGTTTGATTCTTTTTATGGACAGAGTCCAGTTCTGTACCAAAAGAAGTCAAAATAAGCGCTATATTACTGCTGACATTATTCTTGCATATCTCACATCTCTCCTGTAAGACACTCACTCCCATATCTCTTTGTGCAGTACAGGTTTACTAATAGTCATGGCAATAGTGCCTCCTATTGGCCAGGCATTGTGCAGCTAGCTTGGAGCTAGAGGTCTGGATTTCAAACTGCCTGTTGATTTCTACTTGATTATTCCACAAGAGCCTAAAATTTGAAATGTTCCAAATTAATCTCGTCATCCTTCCCTCATCCCCCGTTCCTCCTCCAGGGTTTCCCCACTTCAGTGAATGCACCAGTTTGCATCCACCCAAGCAACTCAGTCATCTGGTAGTCATCACTGACTCTTCCTCTGCATCTTCTTTCCCCTGGATTACTGTCTTCTCTGGTCTCCAGTATAGACCCCTCCAAATCCTTTCTTTCCACACTGCAGACAGGATGATTTAAAACTCAAGTCTGGATGTGAATTGTTCTGCTTTGCAAAACCCTTCAGAAGCACCTGGATCTTTTAGCTATTTTCCCTTTTCAGATTTGAGAATAGCTGCCCCTAAAACTTTTTTTTTTTTTTAGAAAAAAAAAAAAGATACTATTTTGTCACCCAGGTTGGAGTACATTAGCATCATCGTGGCTCACTACATTCTCTTAACTCCCAAGCTCAAGGAATCATCCCACCTCAGCCTCCTGAGAAGCTGCAAGTACAGGCACACATCACCACACCTGGCTAATCTTTCTCTTTTTTATTTTCTGAGATGGAGTTTTACTTTTTCACCCAGGCTGAAGTAGCGCAATCTTGGCTCACTGCAACCTCCACCCACTGGGTTCAAGCGATTCTCCAGCCTTGGCCTCCCAAGTGGCTGGGATTGATTATAGGCATCCACCACCACACCCGGCTATATATTTTTATTTTTGGTAGAGACGGGGTTTTGATTCTCAGTGTAGAACTAGTAATCCCAAATTGTCCATATTTTCCTTATTACACCGTACCACTTGCCTATTATCAAGCAACTCAACGTGCTTTTTCCTTTACCTCGGTAAAACTTGAATTCAGCTTTTGGTTAGAAAATGAGCATTTAAAACACATTCCTGGCCGGGCATGGTGACTTAACGTCTGTAATCCCAGCACTTTGGGAGGCCAAGGCAGACAGATCACCTTAAGTCAGGAGTTTGAGATCAGCCTGGCTGACATGACAAAACCTGGTCTCTACTAAAAATACAAAATTAGCCGGGTATGGTGGCACATGCATGTAACCCCAGCTACTCAGGAGGCTGAGGTAGGAGAATCGCTTCAACTTGGGAGTTGGAGGTCACAGTGCGCAGGTTGTGCCACTGCACTCTGGCCTGGGAGACACAGCGAGGCTGTTTCGTGTACAGCTTTGTAGTATTCAAATCTATCCAGGATCTTTTACTGCCCCAAATTATCTAAATCTTGTAGTAGACAGAACCAGAAGTCCAGTCTACTATATACAGGCTGAGTATCCCTTATCTGAAATGCTTCGGATGAGATGTGTTCTGATGTTGACATTTTGGGGATGGGACCTAGGTCTATACAGGAAATCCATTTATGCTTCATATGCACCTATCCTTAAGTATGTCTTCCTTACACACTGCTGTGTAACTGCAATGACTATAACCCACCAAGAGGCTAGGCTAAGGATTTCCAATTGCAATGTCACAGCTCAGTTCCAGCTGTTGAAACTTTTTGGATTAGAAATATGCTCAACCTATGTACCCAGAAGGTCCCTCCGCACTCCCCACTTGGAGTTGTCTCCTTTGCGGATTGAGCCCCTGTACATCTTACATGTATTGTTACCCTACGTCTTCCTAAAAACATACAAAACCAATCTATAGCCTGACCACCGTGAGCACTCGATCTCAGAATCCCCTGGGGCTGTGTTGTGATTTTTATACTTATTTTTTATAAGAAAATTTGCGCAGGCATGGTGGCTTACGCCTGTTATTCCCAGCATTTGGGAGGTCAAGGTGGGTGGATCACCTGAGCTCAGGAGTTCAAGACCAGCATGGCCAACACAGTAAAACCCCATCTCTACTAAAAATACAAAAACTAGCCGGGCATGCTGGCACACACCTGTAGCCCCAGCTACGCAGGAGGCTGGGGCAGGAGAATGCCTTGAACCAAGAAGTGGAGGTTGCAGTGAGCCAAAATCTTGCCACTGCACTCCAGCCTAGGCATCAAAGGCTGCCTCAAGAAAAAAGGCCAGGCGTCGTAGCTCACGTCTGTAATCCCAGCAGGTTGGGAGGCTGAGGTAGGGGGATCACCTGAGGTGAGGAGTTCAAGACCAGCCTGGCCAACACAGCAAAACCCCATCTCTACTAAAAATACAAAAAAAGCCTGGGCGACACA